ATCTACTCCATGTATGCCACTTTTTAAATATTATGGAGAAAAAATAAAGACCAGAAACATGGCACTTAGCATTAACAAGGAGAGAGAAGATTGAATGAAAAATATAAAACACACATTTGAAAGTAAGGTCAGATGTTCTTCTTTCTACAGCAGTATGCTGTTAAAAGTTAAACACTGTATCTGGAATATACTCATTACTTGGTTCATTTTTAGGCTGTACAAAGAGATTACAGTATAATACTCTGGCATTCTGAATTTGAAGCCTGAGTTTCCCACATATAGCAGCTAATTGCATGGAAAAGGTTATCATTTGTAGTCATGATTCAAGATATGTGTATCCATATATGGGTGGTTCATTTTAAGGAAGGAAATTCAGTGGTATAGCCTATTTTATTTGTCATGTATAAAGCCCTGGCTCTGGGTCCAGTCATTAAAAAAATATTTGTAATATATGCAATACAAGTAAGTTACAAGTTAATTATGACCAGAATTAGGGATCTCTCTAGTAAAGCTCATATTTAGGGATCTACCTTTAGAGATATATAGCCAAGGTGTGTGGGCCTGATGATTCAATTCTCCACCAGCCCACTGGTGATGTAGACTATGAGGCCTACACTTGGTAGTGCTGGAAAACCAATCATCAGTTCCAAAGTTTGAATGTAAAAATTTGCCTCCAGCATATCAGGCATATGCTATGGCTCTTTGAACTATCTCCCAGGTCCAACCATTTTAGGTTTTAGTTAAAAATACAAAAAAAAAAATTAAAATTGTTTGATAAGCATTTTTCCACTGAGGTAGAAAAGTATATGATGCTTGAAATTTTTAAGTTTATAGGATGATCACTTTATAGAGATATTTTTGAAAAATAGTCAAATTTAAGTTAGCTTTTGGATAGACAAGTTACTTCTTATATAAATCCAATAATCCTAGCCTAACAGTGGTTGTTCAACAATATGTGAAAGAAATTAGAATTCAGCTACAAAGTTCTTCAGTTGTTACTGCAAGTGCCTTATTTTAAAAATAAAGCTTTTCATGTGCATTTCTTTTTTGGAAATTTGAGGATTTCAAATTTCATTTCCTAAAAGTGTGTTGTTGGGGCTGGAGTGATATCACAGCAGGTAGGGTGTTTGCCTTGCACGCAGCCCAATCAGGGTTTAATCCCCAGCATCCCATGTGGTCTCCTGAGCACGGCCAGGAGTAATTCCTGAGTGCATGAACCAGGAGTAACCCCTGTGCTTCACTGGTTGTGATCCAAAAGAAAAAAAAAAGTGTTTGTAGTCTTGCTGCATACTCAGCTTTACTCACACTCATTCACACTCACTCACATGCACACACGTGACTTTTAGAGTAAAAGGTTTATAATGTTTTTCTTTAATCTCCTACATAAGAATACAGAGCCAATGGTAGAAAGAATTTTCCCCTTCCTCCAAAACTTACAAAAACAAAAACACAACACTCTGCCAAATTGTTTTCCTTAAGCTTTGAAGGAAAACAAGGAAAAAAATTTACATGTGATTATTTTAAAATCTGAACTACTCATGCATGGTTTTTAAAATAATATACCATAATATACTCAAACTGCAAGTCTGTGTTGGTATCACATAATAAAAACATAAATAAATTATAAGTTATGAAAAGAATCAATTTGTACAAATTTTGGTAGGGCCTTTGTTTTTAAAATTTGTTATGAAAGCTTTTCACAGTAGTCACTTATCTGCATTTCAAAGAAAGTTGAACACTGGGATTTTGTTCTTCATTTTAAAAATATGAGCACTAGAACCCAAAACCCATATAAGGAATGTTCATAAAACAACAATCGCTAAGTAAAATGAAATTGTAAACAGTTTCACCACTTGGAAATTCATATTTTTTACATCAGTTTATAAGATTTTATCAATTATGTTTATTAAGAATAATTCTCTTGAAAGTTTTATTTAAAACTTATATTTCATAGCTGACATAGCCTGTTAATTAATACCTTAAAGCAATGTTTTAATCAACTTGTAACTAAAAGTGCTATAATAATTTTGTGCTGTTTTGCCTTAAAGTTCATTCATTAGCTGCAGAAATTATTCAAAGATCAAGAGCTAAAATGTGAACTAGCAGTAAAAATTCAAGTATATGTTACAAATTTTTATAATAATATTTCACTTATCAATCTTCATACTTTTAGTAGCAACAGGGTATTTCTTATGTTGTTGATAACAGTGTAAATGACAGAAACACATTGCAACTTCTGGTAAAGCTGAGTATACTAATACACATTCTCTGATCCAGCAATATCTTTCCTGCAGAAAAATTCAAAACAAACCCCTACCATTTCCTAAATGTATAATTTCATATATATTAACAAAAAGGCTCATAGATGTTCATAATTTGAAAAATATACAAATTTTCATTAATAGGATGATTGCTAACTTGTTCTTCAAATGGAATGCCACATAGTGATGAGTATAAACAAGATAAATGCAAAGACTGAAAATCCATGAACATGTTTTTTGAAAATTAAACCCAAGGAAGTATTTTTATAGAGCAAAACTGGGCTGAGAGACCATACAGAGGCAGGGTATTTGTTTTGCACAATACTGACCTAGTTTTGGTCCCTGGAACCCCATTATGTCCCCTGACTTTTACCTGCAGTGATCACTGCATGCAGAGTTACTCCTGAGCACTGTCTGGTGTGGCCCAATAACTCTCAAAAATATTAGAAAACTGCATTTATTGTTGTGTTTATTAACATAGTAAGTATATTAGATCAAGGTAGTATCTGAAAAAAGGATATAATGGTAGGTGGGTGCAGGATGAGTATCCTCCAATAAGAAAAATTTCACTACTTAATCTCTGACCTCTGTACTTTGCTGTGTTATCTTTTGAAATTTTATATGGAAACTTGTTATCTGTACACTTAACTGTCTGTATGTTATATCTCAATAAAACTTTTTGTAAATCTTAAAATTTGTGAAAAGTTTTGTAAGTTACTTAATTCAAATTGCCCTGAAAAATATTATTTATAAATAAAAAACATGTTGATTAATTAATATAAATGCTCTTATTGTCTTGCTTTTTACTTTGCTCATTTTATTCTTGCTCAGTATATCACACATAGGCTTAGGAATTAATGACTAATTTCATAAGGTTCTTTTTAAATAAAATGTTTCTAGTAGATGAAATATCACTTTCTTTACTATAAGAAATTCTCTTTCAAGGGTCATCACTGAAGACAAATAAGTATTTACGTAAATATGGCTAAAGATCTTTATAGATTGTTTAATTCCATCTAAGTCTAGTTAGTCTACGATATAAAAATTTTGATATATTTATGAAAGGAGAAAACGTTCACAGAGAATAGGTGTCACAGTAATTCCTTACTGATATTGGGGTGTCCTTTACAAATGATTACAATTTTTATTCTTCATAAATAATATTTTTGGCTAAAATTATTTAGTTCAAATGAGAATAAAGTAATAATTTTGGCCATATGAAAAACAATACTTATAGATTTCAATCAATATTTTATCTAGAGACAAGAGTATTTAGTTATAAAATAAAATATCTGAGATTACATTTTTGCTCTTATAGTTATCCTGATTCAATTCTGAAGTTGCTGACCTTAAACTTGCTAAATATTAGTTATTGACAATAAACTTTGCTTTGGCTGATACATTTGTAAATTTTGTGAGAGTTATAACATCACAAAGATCACTAAAGTCACAAAAATACTGTCAGAATATTTTTCAACTTACAATCATTTAAATTGGGCTGGAATATTAATTAAAGCCCTAGAACACAAGTCTAGCAGTGTTTGGGGCCCTCAGTTTGATTCCCATCACTCCAGCACTGCATCTTTCCCTCCCTCCAGCTGCATTCTAGTGTAACTGTGATGGCTTAGGAGCACCACTAGGAGTAGTTTTCTTACTCCCAGCACTGTTGAATGGAGTCTCTAAACAAAAACCTAAAATGACTTAGTCCTTTCAAAAAAAATAAGCATTCCAAATATAATAACTTTCACAAAAAGTTTCTAGTACTATAGTACTAGTCAAAATTATGCAATTTTCTATAATTATGATTTCATAAAGGTGCTCAATTATGAAAAATTGCCATCAAAATGCAGAAAATAGTATGTTCATATAGGAATCAGTTAATAATTAACTTAGTTACTTTAATTATTTGACATCATCTTGAGATGCTTGTGAACCATAAAAATTATAAAGTCAAATTTATACTGATGCTTCAAAAATTAGATGAGCAGTAGTTTATTTTTGCATTATTTATTAATAATATGAGTCAAATTTTCTTGATTTTATCTTGTTTCCTCTTCCATGCTAATTTTTGAAGTGTATTATTTATGATTAAATATAAAATTAATTTCATGAAATGTTTGCATTGCTCATATATTTCTTATGCTGTTATTTTCATCAGATTATTATTGACATAAAACAGATAATTTATTTATAAATTTGTTTCTGTGAATTACCTCAAAATGACCAGAAATTACACAAAGTTTTCATTAGAATACAGTAATATTTAGGCCTTTACCCTCTTCATCTGAAACATGTTAGAAGTGTTTAGAATTTCTTTGATTGACAAATGATTTGATTCTACCAATACTCTTTTAAAAAGTTATTAATGCTCCATCTTTATTGTTATTTTGCAACTTTCAAAATGATAGTAATATCCAGAGTTTATAATTTTTTAAAAAATAAAAACCTCTAAAAGCGATTTGATAAGGACAACCTAGATTTAAATTATTTTTGCCCCCTAAGGTAGTCTGCAAATAACATTAATATGCCCGCCCGTGACTAAAATGCACTAATGAGTGAAAACAGAGCAAAGTTACATTTTTTGCAAAGACCTCAATATACTGCGACTGTGTTTTAGGATAAGACAATGAGACTTCAAAGACTCTTCTAACAAGTCTATTATTCCTTCCATGACAAAGTGGGTACAAGCTAGTACGAAGGCAGAATGAGTTGCCCAACTGTTAAATAGAGTGGACTCACCTGAGTAACAGTGCCGCTTCCCAGAAGTAAAATCCCGAAACTAACGTTCGAATGTGTCTCACTTGGGCCATGATACGTCGAGATCTTTAGGATTCTGCAATGAATTTTATCCAAGGCATGGGCCGGAGAGAACCTGAAGCGAAAACGTGCAACTGAACTCCCCTTGTGTTGGCGGAAAGCTTCAGCACCGAGGACAGCTCCCTCGCTGCGCCAGCTGGGCGCTCGCCAGCACCTGAGGTGTCCCCGGTCCACCCCTTCCCGGAGCCTTGAGCACCAGCAGATAGATGCACGCGGCTGCAGATGTGCCAGGGGGGAGATGAGATAGGACAAAGTGCCTGGGTCCGGGGCAACAGTTCTCTGAAGCTCAGGAGGCCGAGCAACAATCTTTGTCCTTTTCTCTTGACTCAGACCCACCAGAAGAGAAAGCGGAGCGGGAGCCCGATGCTTCTTCACCTGCTCCCAGCGTGTCCAGCCCGAATCCCACTCTCCACCTTTAGGGGAAGAGCCGAGACCGCCAGCGCGGCAAAGGGAAGAGGGGGCGGGGCCCGGCCACACGGGCCCAGCCGCCAATCACCACCTCACAGCGGAGCAGAGTGACAGGCCACTCACCCGGGTAGGTGGTGCTTAGCGGTTCGTCGTTGGAAAAAAAGCAAAGCAAGAAAAAAAGCTTTGAGTAACTGGTACAAAGCTTGTCGCTCGACTGGTGACTCTGGGGGGAAGGAAGTCTGGAGGCTAAGAACAGAGATTCTGTAGCTGTTGAGCATCAGGTGACAGAATCCGACTGCTACTGTGCTTGAGGGAGCCTCCCATTGTTCATTTTCAGCAAAAAAAAGTGCATGCAAGTATTAAGGGATTTTTTTTAAGCCCTCTCCCCCACCTCCAGTCTTTCGACTTTACACTTCACTGCAAGAGTCAAAATCTGCAGGAAACCCAGATCCTTGGGAAGGGCTAGGAAAGAGAGAAAGCGATGCCTGAACGCCAGCACGGAGGGAGAATGAGCTGCTGATAGAATTCTTGCACAATTGCTGGCCTGTTTTGGCCTGGGAAGCAGAGTTGTCTAACTCGAGTAAGTTGAGTTTTAACTTCAACCATAGAAAGGATTCCAGAAAGAAGAAGATGGGGTATCTAGAAAGACAGCTTCCAGAGGTACAGTGCTTCCTGTCATCCCTCCCCCCTAAACATTTTGTAAATCTCAGAGGTAATTCAAGTGAAAAGGATAAGATAGGTTATATGGTACATCTTTTTCTCTGTCATCTCTTGTCTCTCTCCTGTCCCCTTCCAAGCCCCACCCACTTACAATTTACAAGGGGTCTTGTATGAATGGAAAGAAACTGTGTACATGTACCTTTTCATATATTTCAAAATAGCATGTTAAAAATTTTAAAGTCTATATTGTAAGGCCTTTATAATGGTTTCATTTACTCTCAACTAGGATTAAAGTATTCACTCCTGGAAATGCAAGCTTTTCTCCAAAACTCAGCTGTTTATTCTGATACTACTCAGTATCTTAACTATCTCGGCATTTAAGATACCTGCTACCGGCATCTCTACTCTTTCTTACCAATGCTCCCTTCTTAAATAAATCCTAAAAATTGACAATTAACTTGTAACTCTATTTAACTAAAAGACTGTTAGTCATCACCTTCTAACCCTGTCGAATGAGGGAACAGTGGGAGAAAATTTGTTTATTCATTAATAGATTATTTTATTTGTATTCCATGAAAAATTAAAGATTGGTATATTTTCTTTTTTCCTCTTTTACCTTTTTTTGTGGGGGTGGAGGACACACCAGAAATGCTCAGGAATTACTCTTAGCTCCGAGTTCAGGAATTACTTCTGGATATGCTTGGGATTGGGGATGTGGGGGGCATTTGGGATGCCAGGGATTAGAACTCTCATCAGCTGTATGCAAGGCAACCACCCTACCTTACCTGTTGTGCTATCTATCTGTCTGGCCCCAGGCCTACTTTTATCTGCTATTATTATCCCTGTCATTTTTTCATATCTTACATTTCTGATTTACATCACAAACTTCTAGAAATCTCATAAGCAATATCTTTGCTTCTTCCTAGGAATATTTGTATCTTGATAAGGTTAATGCAATTTTAATTTATTCATTTTTGATGAATTTTTTGAAAACTTGGTAAATACGCATGCATTTCAGTTGGTCTACTTTGAATAGTATTATTGTTTTAAAAGCACACATAATCCAAACCAAAATTTACCCTATTTAAAAATCAGGATTTCTTGCTTATTGGATCATTAACTTGAATCTTTATAAAATAATTAATTAACTTAAAATATCTTCATTTAGTATCTTAGGAAATATGTACTGGAGAGATAGTTCAGTGGACTGCAATGCATGCTTTTAATGCAGGAGATCTCAGCCTGATTCTCTGCAATGTGTGGTCCCCAAAGTCCCAGAAGTAGTGACTTGAGCACAGATCCAGGAGTAATTCTTGAGACTGTAAGGATGGCACACCAACAACATAAATATGTATATATAAATAAGTCGATATATAGATGTATTGTATATTGATTGGCTGGGTATGTGGTTGTGTGTTAGAATATATGCCTCAGTAAGAAAGAATAAATCTTTAAGTTCTGAGGTTGGAATTTGGTACTGCAAAAAGTAAGCTGATTAATAGATAATATTTAAAGGTTTATGTGTACACTAATCTGAAGTTATTCTACATGAATAATGTTATCTATAACATTATTGCTGGCAAGATAATGTTATCTATACATGACATCATTAGCATGAAAGCACTGTCACTGTCACTGTCCTCCCGTTGTTTATTGATTTGCTTGAGCGGGCCCAGTAACGTCTCCATTGGAGACTTTGTTGTTACTGTGTTTGGCATATTGAATACATCACGGGTAGCTTGCCAGGCTCTGCCGTGCAGGCAAGATACTCTCAGTAGCTTGGTGGGCTCTCCGAGAGGGGCAGAGGAATCGAACTCAGGTCGGCCATGTTGGCGGCGTGCAAGACAAATGCCCTACCACTGTGCTTTCGCTCCAGTCCAGCATGAAAGCACATAATCAATAAACTTCAAATTATATATAGTTGATCAATTTCTTACTGATGTGACATTAAAAAATGGTTTAGGATCCCCATATTACTCAATTTTCATAAGACTATGATCATGTACTTCAAATTATTTACTATAAACTGTCATCCTCATTTATTTGTTTGAATTTTCAGCATGAGTAAGAACAAAGGCAACTTACCATAATACCTGATATATTGTAGGTTAAAAATTTGAATGCATAGAAGAATATATTATATTATATTTACTTAGTGATATATTCAAATTAGTCATGAATGACCCTGTAACTATGATCTTGATATAAACATTGAGAGTAAATAAGTTAGACATTAATCAGAATAGGTAGTAATGTTTTCTTTAAACTTATAGTGATTATCTTTCCAGAATCTTTTGTCTTTGGCTTTATACACTGTGATTCTCCAAGATATTCCAAGGGGCCACAGTGAAAATCATGTAAATGGGGACCAGGACATAAGACTAAGGGCCAAATGTCAGGAAAGGGGGGAGGGCACAAGAAAATCACAGTTAAAAGGAGGCCATGGTCAGAAAAAAATTTGAAAAACATTGTTCTAATCATCTTATCAAAGACAAAACACCCACTTTAAAATGTACAAACTGTAGCGGATGCAGAGATAACAAAGAAGGAAGGTGCTTGCCTTGCACATGGCCTACCAGGGCTCAATTTTGGTAAGCTCATATGGTCCCCTGAGCGCTGCCAGAAGTGATCCCTGTGCTTAGAGCCAGGAGGATGCCCTAAGAACCGTTAGGTGTAGTCACCAAACAGACAAACAAAAAGTGTAATATAAAGCCATTTTAAAAATAATCAAAATCCATATTTTTATTACTATTTAATTAGAATATATCCTTAACACTCTCGTAGTAATGGAAGGAAACTTTAACTTAGAGATCTATTTGAAACTCACTAGTTTGAATGATCATAGAAGACAAAAACCACATGAAATTATATGCCACAGTATCTGGCAAATAGTATAGCTAAAGAAATATTTGTTAAAGTAAGTGACAAGTATGGAGATATTCTCTGGTCTTTGGTTTTGCCTTTCCTAGATTCCATTCCTTACCTCAAATATCTTTTAAACCATTCTTTTGTCACAGACTTGTTGAAGATTTCTAGATTACAATGTTGCTTCCTCCCTTCCTCCCCGCCTCCAGCCTCCAGGGTTGTTTCTTGACCTTCTAAAAGTCACTTTTGAGTTTAATATGTGTGCTTTTGGTTAATTTTGAGAGTGTCAAAGTTAAAAATAAAATTATTATCCTCTGTAGAATTGATTTCACTGTTTTAACTCACAGATTGAAATTTTCCCCCTCAATTGTGTGAATAATGTGTCACAATTCCCTAAAGGATTTGAGATGGAGAGATAATTAAGGTACCCAATTGACTAAATTTTTTATTCTTTCCCTGATTTTTTGGTTTCAACTATGCACAATTTGGAAAAGTACTTCCAAGCTATTTCCTTATGAGTTGATTATATGTGCCATCTTTGTTGTTTTCTGGGACATAGTTTAAATGAGAAAAAAATATTGTCATAGAGGAATTGCAGCCTATATAACATGTAAGATACACATAATTATTTATAATGTTTGTAGAATATAATGTAATTATGGAACAGAGGGAGAAAAATTATGGTGGAACAAACTATTGAAATTGTCTAAAATGCCCTAATTATTCTACTTTTGTGTCATCAAACAAAAGCTTATTTTGCTCTGGGTAAATTGCCCTCTTTCACAAAGTTTAATTGAAATGTAGACTATGACTTGTTTATCTAGGGAGGGCCCCACCTAACACCAAAATTAAGTGATTATATTTAAATTATAATTCATTTTTATGACACAAACTGCTTATTTTATTTAAATCACTTGTTTTTTAAACATAAAGTGATTATGCTTTATGTTTCACTCAACTGAAAAAATAAATATGATATTCAAGGAATGATATATAATGAGAAGCTTTTACATTAACATTAATTCTTTGAATATTTTAAAATATCCCTCCAGTAATTAGCAATAATATGTAGGAAGTTAAAATAAAATTCTATAATTTCTTGTGATAATGATCTCTTGGTTATCATAATAGCCTTAGGTTCTGTTGAACTAGAATCATTTTGTTACTCATCCTACCTTCAATTTTTTGTGTTGCAATTTGTTTGCAAATTTTAATGGTGACTTGAGATCTGACTAATCTATAGTAAATTGCTGTGTTCAGAAAGTATTAGAGATAAGTAATTAACCTTAAATATGGTTTTTGTAAATTCAGCTGTATTGAATTGTATCCCCTAGGGGACAAGATAAATTTCTAACTCTAATGTTCAGTACCCAAGAATGTAAATTTATGTGGAGACAGAATATGTACAGAGATAACCACATTAAAATTAATTATAATGAATTAGAAATAATCTTAATCCAAGGTGTCTGGTATCCTTACAGAAAGGGAGAAATTTGAA